AAAAAAAAAAAAAAAAAAAAAACTACCGTCTGTCCCGTGAACCAGTAGCATCAGATACACATCACCCGCCTATTTATACCCACCTTTACACAAATCCCAAAATCGCTTCTTCATGTCTTAGAAAACACAAACACACACACTCCCCCAAAACACGCTTTTTGTTCCAATCATAATTGGACGAGGTTTCTATTGGCTCATATCATTTGAGGTTTCATACTTTTTGATACTTCTAATGGAGTACACACAGGATGGTACCGTTGACCTCCGTGGCCGGCCGGTTCTTGCCAATAAAACCGGCAAATGGAAAGCCTGTTCTTTCCTCATCGGTAAGAACTCAGTCCACTTTCTCGTTTTAGGTTATCCATTGAACGATACACAATTTTCGAATCGTACAAATTTTTATATGAGGCGGACTAATCGTTAGACAGGTCGACTTGTCATACTTTTTTCTTGAACAAAAATGCTTATATTGTCGATATTGTTTTTTAGAATATAACATTTCAATTTCAAATATTCCCCTGTATATTTAGAATGTTATGTCTGGCTAACATCAGTCTTACTGTTTCGTATCAATGTTTTGTTTGGATTTTTTCAATTGTTTGGTGACGTGTTAGGATATGAGGCATTTGAGAGGATGGCGTTTTATGGGATAGCCTCAAATTTGGTGGTTTATTTGACGACACAACTGCATGAGGACACTGTTTCGTCGGTGAGAAATGTGAACAACTGGGCCGGGTCGGTTTGGATCACCCCGATTCTTGGAGCTTATATTGCAGATTCTTACTTGGGCCGCTTTTGGACTTTTACCATCTCATCTTTAATTTATGTCATGGTAAGATAAGACTCATGCATATCACATGTGCTCCTTTCCTTTTTCCTTTTCTCTTTCTTGTATTATTATCATTATTATTATTATTAATTACTTATAATTACTAGATAAACGAACACTAAATTCAGTCTCATTGTCTCGTCACAATCACACTAGCCAACCAATCTTGATTCTTGAGTAGATTCATGGTCATATTTAGTTTTTTGTATGGGGCCAAGCTCTTCATTTGTTAAAATAAAAAATAATAATAATAATTAAAATGCTTAAATTTAACGTTGTCCAACACAAACGTGTACCATGAATGGGTACACCACTTGTTTGGTCAATGTGATTTTGTTTTCATTTTATTTTTTTCTGTTTTTTGGGGACTTTAATAGTTGAATTATATGTGGGGATTGGATTTGGATGGGACCTTTCAGCATGCTAGATCAACACACAGTGCAGATATGTGTATATGTTAGATCAACGGTTAAAAGATCCTATAATAATAATGATAATAAATTATATATATAAAAAAAAAAAAAAAAAAAAAAAAAAAAAAAAAAAAAAAAACAGGGGATGGTCCTTCTCACAATGGCTGTCTCCATCGAGTCCCTCCGGCCTGCCTGCGAAAACGGGTCCTGCAGCAAGGCCAGCCGGGCCCAGGTGGCCTTTTTCTACACTTCGCTCTACGTAATTGCGGTTGGTGCCGGCGGCACGAAGCCCAACATCTCGACTTTAGGGGCCGACCAGTTTGACGACCTCAACCCGGACGAGAAGAAGCTCAAGGCCTCTTTCTTCAACTGGTGGATGTTCAGCACTTTCTGTGGGGCCCTCTTCGCGACCATGGGCCTCGTTTATGTCCAAGTGAACGTGGGCTGGGGATGGGGCTACGGTATCCCGACCGGAGGCCTCGTGCTCTCGTTGGGCCTCTTCTATGTGGGGACACCTCTGTACCGCCACAAGGTGCGTAGAACGAGGCACCCGGCTGGCGAGGTCTTTCGGGTTTTCGTAACAGCACTTGCGAACGCGAGGCTTGAGCCGCCGAGCGGACATCAGATGGAGCTTCACGAGATGGACAATGCGTATTATGCGAGAACCGGGAAACGTAGAATACATCACACTCCGGTTTTCAGGTGAACTTCTCTTGTTTTATTTATTTCGGAACTTGTTAGGAATAATTATGAATAGTTATTACAAACATTATCAGCCCTGAGATCTGGCAGATGTAGAAAATTTCTCAGTTATGCACTTATGTCTTCCCATAAATGGTCAAACATGTGTACACAAAAAAAACCATAAAAAGCCACTAGCTTATGATGAAGTGAGAGTTTTGAATGGATAGGGGTGTTGTCTCCATGGCCCTTGGAGTCAAACACTACCATTGGTTGATTAGCTGCAGATGGTCCTCAAGAGCAACTTGCTAGCCTATCAGTAGATTCCCTTCCTCCCATGCAAAGCTTATGGTAGATCAATCAATTCACAACCAAGAATTAAATGAGTCCTTAGTAAAACTTTTGCAAATTTGCATTTTTAGGCTCGTTGGTTTAACGCCATATTAATTTTAATCTCAAAGTTCCAGCATTTTGCTTTTTTTTTTTTTGTCGTGTGATTTAATATTTTGCTGCCATTTCAGTCTTTGGAGGACTGAAATTGCAACAAATTCTCAAATTTCCAGATTTTCGATCAAGAATTTAAGTCTTGTAATTTAAAATTTTATTGCAATTTTCAGTCAACAACATATTAAATCACATGACGAAAAGACAAAAAAATTGGATTATTGAGATTAAAATTGCTACTAAAATACATTTTTTTGCCTAAAACTGTACCCTACACTAACACTAAGAAACAGAAATCCACCTCACATCTAGCTTCTTAATATTTCATCTATATAAATTATTCCCAGGTTCCTGGACTTGGCCGCGACAAAGCCCACTGGGTCCACGCGCCCTCCGTGCACGGTCACCCAAGTGGAGTCCGCGAAGCTCGTCCTCAGCATGTCCACGATTTGGGCCGCAACACTCATCCCAAGCACCATCTGGGCCCAAATCAACACTCTGTTCGTCAAGCAGGGGACCACTCTGGACCGCCACATCACCCCATCCTTCGAAATCCCGGCCGCTTCCCTCAGCAGCCTCGTCACCCTGTCCATGCTGGTATTCCTCCCCGTATACGACCGCTGCCTCGTCCCCCTCGCCCGCCGCCATACGGGCAACCCACGTGGCGTCACCCTCCTTCAGCGCCTCGGCATCGGCTTCGCCATCCAAACCCTAGCCATCGCCTCCGCCTGCCTAGTCAGCTCCCATGTCCGCCACGCGGGTGCCTCGAGCATCCTGTGGCTGTTCCCACAGTACGTGCTGGTTGGGGTGGGGGACGTTTTCAGCGCGGTGGGGATGCTCGAGTTTTTCTACGACCAGTCGCCGGATGCGATGCGGAGCCTGGGGACGACGTTCTTCACGAGCGGGATTGGGGTGGGGAATTTCTTGAACAGCTTGCTCGTGACGGCGGTTGAAGGGGCGACAGGGAGGAAGTGGATTGGGAGGGACGTGAACGAGTCGAGGCTCGACTGTTACTACGGGTTGTTGCTGGTGCTGTCGGTGGTGAACCTCGCCGTGTTCGTGGCGGCGGCGAGGAAGTACGTGTACAAGGTGGAGGAGTCGGGTGAGGATCATGTGGTGGTAAAGGAGGTGTGTGTGGAGAAATAGAATAATTGAGAGGGCTAATTGGTTGGTTTTCTACTTTTTTTTTTTATTTTTATTTTTTATTTTTTTTTTTTATTTTTGGTGTATTGTGTGTGTATATGTAATTATGTACGTATGGTTTAAGTGTGATTAAATTAGCAAGGAATGATATTCATGATGATATGTTATGGCCTTTTTTTAAAAAGATTATTGGTATATTTTTTATTACAAATTAAAGATTTTATATCTATATTTATATTTATGTATATATTTATGACATTAATAAATATAGATAGATGTGGGGATGAGAACTATATATCAAAATATTCAATACTCATTATATATAATTATTTTACATTGATAAAATTCAATACTCATTATATATAATTATTTTACATTGATAAAATATTTATATGTACTATGAAATGGGTTTTCACTATTTTTTTTTTTGTCGGAACAAAAGGATTTAATAAATAGAACACATAATCAATATGGTACGATTTATAATGTTGAAAATATTCTTTAAATGCATTAAAAATATAAAAAAACTCAATTTATCAAATTAAAAAATGCATAAAATTAATTGTCACAAGGTCTAGGTTCAGGCTATAATTTTTCAACCCTTAGCACCCTATGTGGCCTGATTCACCACAAATCAGTCAGCCTTTCACCGTCCTTCGATATTTCGCTCGCCCATACAAGTATAGATCGATGGCAAGCAGTCACTTTAACATGCATGCGGAAGACTATCAAGTAAAACAGTGACAAATTATTTTTAGGGGCTCCCGCCCAACCAATCCTCCCTGTATATAATTCTCAAATGTGCTGAGCCTAAGAGCACCCACAATGCTTTAGGTCTCTTTTTGCATATGTGACAAATAAATATACTTAAGCCCCACAAACCCAAGCTAAAAAATCCAAAATCTATCCAATGCAAAACAAAAAAAGTACTAGGTCTAGAATACTAAACAACCAATAAAAATATAGTAATAATAAATGCATACAAAAAAATGTGTTTTGCCTATTAAAAAGAAAAAAAAATTGTGAACATTAATGACTAGGTGGGTTTGCACTTGGGTCCAAAATAGACCCAAATGTGGACTTAATCTCTTTTTTTCTAGTGCCACATAAGTTAGACTATATCCACTTTTAATTGCATTGTGAAACATTTTTTATAGACTAGGTCTATTTCTTACATGGCATGTGATTTTTTTTCTAAGAGACCCAAAGCATTGTGGGTGCTCTAAGTGGAAGGTTCGCATGCTTCGGGATTTTAAATGTCAAAATTTCATACTTTATTATTTGGCTAGGATATATTTTTTTTAATTTTAATTCAAAAATAAATTAGGTTCGAATTACCATAAATATGTTGATTTATTTATGATCATTTTAGATGTATTAATTGTATTTTTAATATAATTTTCTATTATGAGAGCATCTCCAATGCTCCAATGTTGTTATAGAAATTTTTTTGACAAATGTCAAAAAATTAAATAGATTGTGAACCATGTAGGACAATGTTGAGTTCACAACTATTAAATTAAAAAATTATATCCAATACACAATGTTGCCTAATTACAATATTATCTACTTGCCAAATAATAAAATATTAATATGAATTAATAAAATTAAATAAATAATTAAATGGTTTGAAGATGGTAATAATAATTCTCTCTCTTCTCCTCATTGGCTAATTAGAATGTGGATGAACAACATTCTTCTCTACATTGTGGACATTAATTATGTCCACGTCATTACAACATTTGTGATCACATTGTACATTGGAGGATAATAAATTGTGATATTAATAAATGTGTTGATGTGGAGTGTAATTTACCACTACAACACTGAGCATTGAGGATGCTCTAACTATTGAATTGTAAATGTATTATAAAAGTTGATAACTTTGTATTTCTTATCGGTTTACAATATAATATAGGGTAAAATACTTTTTCCCATCCGAACTATCACGGTTTTGGCGCATCACCATATAAACTATTTATTTTTACAAACTACCATATGAACTATACAAGTTTGTCAATGTGCCCCCTAAACCAGATATAAAAGTGCTTTTGACTGAAAAAGCTGTATGGTTACCATATGTGTCCCCTAAATACTTTTACAAACCACCATATGAACTATCACGGGTTTGTCAATTTGCCCCCTAAACCACTTTTATATCCGGTTTAGGGGGCATATTGACAAACCTGTATAGTTCATATGGTGGTTTGTAAAAAAAAATAGTTTATATGGTGATGCGCCAAAACCGTGATAGTTCGGATGGGAAAAAGTATTTTACCCTATAATATATCAAAGTAATCATCTTTTGATGAGTTTCGATTTGACATCCATATTGTATATATAAGATAAATAAACTATATTTATCTTTATAATAATAAAAAATTATTAAGATTAATTAGAAAAATAAAATTATTTTTCAACTAATATATTTATGTTTAATGCAGTTATGTGTTTTTAAGTTAGAAAAGTTATTATAATATAACACATGTAAGTCACACAAGTAACAAATCATACTAAAATATATAATAATATATATTTTTT